AAAGTCATTTGGCTGCTACAATTAATTACATTAATCTACATGTTAATTAGGTTGCGATAACAGCCCGGAAATGAAAGACCCATCCTATTCTATCTATCCTATGCTGACTTTGCATGTTCCCTACAAATTTGCAGAGAAAACATATGAACTACTACTGTTAGATGCTCTACGGCAAAAACAAAAGAATGGCACTACACTGCACGACGAAGCAAAAATAAAATTCAAGTGGTGTAATTCAGAGGATACAATCAAAAGGAAAACCCGATCGATGCAACTACACTGTACGTCTGTCCCCCATATATATATATATATATATACTGAGCGTGCGCGTAAAAACGCTAATCCTGCGCTCCGCTCGATGTGAAGTCTGTTGCGCGCGTCACTTGGTTGGACAATCCCAGTAAAAACCATGCGAAGAATTAAAACAGTTACGGTTGGCACAGACCACCCCTCCGCCTCGCATATGTAGGCTAGCAAACCAACCGTAATGAACCATCTATCTAGGGTAATCGTAGTGGATTTTTTTACTATAGGATTGACCAGCTGAGTAATAAGGACTAACTAGTAGTAAAACTAGATTTGTTTATTACCTTTGTACGTAGTAGCCTAGTAAATAGGTTACCAGACCAATTACAAGGCTAAGTGGTGCATGGTACACCCTGACAATATTACTATTTTTGATACATAAATGCCTTTTGAAGATTACTTATACAGTATTATGTGGCACAACCTAGTAACTACATTACCATAGATATTAAAGTGCCAAGGAGTGATGTCTGCCAGTGGGTAATGAGATTACTATAGACAACATATACTACAAGAGTACGTGGTAGCCTCGTATCAAGATTACTAGAACCATTAAATATTACTAGTAGTAAAGGATGGATGAGTGGTGCGTGAAAGCTAGTAACCTGATTACTAGAAAGACTGAATTTTTTACGAGCACCCAGGTGTGCCTCTCAACCAATCAAGCGGGTGGACATGCTAATGATCGATGGTAAAATCGCATGCCAGAAAAAGTAATGACATTTAATTGATTACTAGATGCCACACACGTACAGTTCTTAAAGAAATTGAATGCGTTACCATAAGCCTTCCAAATCAGCCAACCTGCTTTTATTTCTTAGATGTGGTTGTAAACTAAGTAAGGCACATAGTAATGCTCCAATGAAAACTATTGTCAGAACGTTGCATCTAGTAATGCTTGAGAACAAAATCAACATAGTAAAATAATTTACTAATACAATATTATTTTACAATAAGAGCATGACAATTTCCTAATCAATGAAACAGAGAATCTGAGTGGTAATCGATTTACTATGTTGTACCACTTGTGTCCAGATATTTACGATCAAACTAGATCATGGTGCATGCAGGTGGGTTTGGTCTCTCGGCCGTCTAGGGATTAGACATGTCGACAGTTAGGAGCGCTGAGAGAGGGTGCGGCGCGTAGAATAAGGTGAACTGCGCTCAGGCACATTTTAGCAAAGCTATATATATATATATATATATATATATATATATATATACGGCTGCGCTATTGTAAGCGAGAGCGCAAAGTTTCTTATTCTGCGCTCCGCCCAGACCACGCACCACCCTACCGTGCGAGCCGTACGCTAATCCATCGTCCTAACCACCTAGTCTCTCC